ACCACCTCATGCCCCTTGAGGATAAGTTTCTCCACCACCGACTGCATGGTGAACCAGTGGCTCCCATCCATGGGCACTACCAGCAGCTTCCCTGCCTCAGCAAAACCACAGGTCAGCAGTAGACACAGACATAAAGGAACGGGGCTGATGCACCGTGTGTGAGCCATCAGAGAACTGCAGCCCGAGCCAGCAGCTGGAATTCTAAGCTGCTATGATACAGTAGGCGGAAGAAGTACAGGCACAAAACCTGACCCCAATAGAGGGCGTGTATTTATCATTTCATAATCACACTCACTGCCAATGATTTACTCATAAGAACAATAATACATGAGTATCATTTGCTGAGATACCTACTTGTATGATTTAGAGACAAGAGTACATTATGGTCTCTTCCTTGGAGGGAGAGCATGCCCTGAGCTGCAATGTGACTTTAGAAACAGAATTATTAAGCAATGCTTTTGGACCTTGAAGATTCAGAAACATAAAGTGAAAGTCAATTTGAATAAAGCTAATATTTTTGGAATTTATCCCAAAGCAAAATTTAGATTTTGACTTTAGCCAAGGAAATACTCTCTGTCCAGAAAGAAATTGGCATCCTATGTGCCAAGGAAAGACAGCAAGGCCCTTAGCACTGACCTCCCAACTGGCAAGAAACTGGGGCTCACCTGCGTCTCTGCAATACATAATCATTGCTAGTTGTCTTCTTCCATATCCAAACCCTGAGAGGCCTCTGAAATGCTGAAATGAGATTGACAACCCTGCCTCCATGGACCATACCAGGGACTTGATGGAAAGTGACCTTCGCCTATTTTAATGGCTTCCCTCAGATACATCACATGCAGTGGGGAGTCGCTGGCCCAGTCCTTGTGTGAGTGCCCTCTGCACTGCCTCTCTGTGACTGCTCTACTTCCATATTCTAAACACGCCATCACTCCAGTGCCCTCCTTCAGGAAAATATGTACTTGTCTCCCTCAGTCTGCTGAATACTCCTGGAGGTCCGAGGTGATGTCATCTTTGTGTTCTCACCCTCCTTTCACAGTAGCCATGCTATGCCTTTGATGCAGTTAGTATGTTTGTCCCCTCCATATATCATGGTCAAATATACTATCAGTGTTAGAGGTGAAGCATGGTGGGAGATGTTTGGGTAGTCGGCATGGATCCCTCATGAATAGTTTGGCACTGTCCTTCCAATAGTGAGTGATTTCTCATGAGATTTGATTGCTTAACAGTATATGACAGCACACTGTTCCCAGAATTTTTTTTTTTTTTTTTTTGAGAACGAGTCTCGGCTCTGTCACCCAGGCTGGAGTGCAGTGGCGGGATCTCAGCTCACTGCACTCCGCCTCCGGGGTTCCGCCCATTCTCCTGCCTCAGCCTCCCCGAGTAGCTGAAACTACAGGCGCCTGCCACCTCGCCTGGCTAGTTTTTTGTTATTTTTTAGTAGAGATGGGGTTTCACGTGTTAGCCAGGATGGTCCTCGATCTCCTGACCTCCGTGATCCGCCCATCTCGGCCTCCCAAAGTGCTGGGATTAAGGCTTGAGCCACCGCGCCCTATCCCAGAACTCTTAAAGTATAATTTTTTTTTTTTTTTTTTTTTTGAGATGGAGTCTCGCTCTGTAGCCCGGCTGGAGTGCAGTGGCCGGATCTCAGCTCACTGCAAGCTCCGCCCTCCAGTTTTACGCCATTCTCCTGCCTCAGCCTCCCGAGTAGCTGGGACTACAGGCGCGCGCCACCTCGCCGGCTAGTTTTTTGTATTTTTAGTAGAGACGGTTGTGTTTCACGGTGTACACAGGATGGTTCGTTCGCTAAAAACCTCGTTGATCGCCTCGTCCTCAGGCCTCCCATAAGTGTGGGATTTAAAGGCTTTGGAAGCCACCGCGCCCGGCCTAAGATAATTTTTAATGTGACAAAAACCTCTTTAGGATATTATCCAGAGAACTTTCCCAGCAAGCTAGAGAGGGCCAACAATTCAAATCAGCAAACCAGAAACACCTAAAAGATAATCCTCAAGAAAACGCAACCCACAACACATAATCATCAGATTCACCAAGGTTGAATGAAGAAAAATGTTAAGCGGGCAGTCAGAGAGAAGAGTCTGGTTACCACAAAAGGAAAGGTCATCAGCACATATCAGTGGACTCCTTTGCAAGAACCGCAAACAAGCCAGAGACAGTGGGCAAATACTCAACATTCCCTAGAGGAAAGATTTTCAACGCCAGAATTTTCATATCCATGGTCAACTAAGCCTTCAATCCAGTGAAGAGAATAAAATCCTTTACAGACAAGGGCAATGCTGAGAGATTTTGTCACCACCAGGCCCTGCCTTACAAGAGCTGCACTGAAGAAAGCACTAAA